TTTTGCAGTAGATTATAATTTTCCTAATCTTTTAATATATGGCCCAATGCAATTTTATAAAGTGTACATTAAAGTTCTAATCAACTTTAAAATAGATACAGCAGTCTTTAAAAGTCCCTATTTTTATTTATATTTGTGTGTGTATGTGTGTGTAGTTTAAACACTATTAAACTGGAGGACAAAATAATGAATTATAAATTGATTCTGACAGCAGAGATGCTTGTACAGCCTCTTGATTAGGACAATACAATTTTAAAATGTAAAACTTGGAAACATTATTAAATCATAACGTTAGCACATGCAATCATTCAGACTGCATCTCCAATCTTTTCCTCATACAGCTTGAAATAATTTTAGGAAGGAAATTTGAGAACCTTTGAAAATTATTTAAGAGTTCCACTTTCCATTTAAATTTTCTTTTTTTATCTTCTGCTTCTTTGTGTCAAGAACAGATAGTTATTTTAATTTCAATGTCTGGCAAAGAGAGGTGTATTTTCTCTAACAAAAAGCTAGGCAGATGCACAGAGTGGAGTAGTTCAGTATTAATGGTGAATTTGTAACAAGCTGGCATAACTACATTGGTGCTTTCCTTGAAAGATTTAGGTTGATTATTGATAGACAGTTCTCTATTTTTCCCACAAAAGCTGAAGTATAGCTTGTACTCAGTCTAAAGTACTACAGTGAGAAGCAGCGATGAGTGTTCTCATGGTTCAGAGAACAACAGAATAGTGGAATCGTTGTTATCCACAAGTCTTTGACCTACTACATTTTCACTTTTTATTGAAAAGAATACATTCCACAGGGCATAATTCTCATATTCAGAATTAACTGTTCTAAAAATACATTTCTTATCTACTTATTTAGGGGAAGGAGAATGTGTGATTAAGTATATACTTTTAACACAATTTAATACTGTGAGCCATAATCCTTCAACTCTACCCTAAACATTTTAGTAGCAGCAAAACACAGTAGCAACAAGCCTTCAGTGGACCTGCTCATTCTCAAGCAGTGAGCAGGGATATGTCTACAGTAGCAGGACTAAAGGATTCAGGACTTCACTGGAAGCCTCAATTTAAAAGAAAATTAGAGTTGTAGGGTCTTTCTGTCAATTCTCTTCCAATAACTTCTGTTCCGTTTAATCCAGAGTTATCAAAGTACAGGAGCCTCAAGCATGTTCTGTTCCTGCATGTTCCATAAAAAAGCCCATAATGGCCGTGTAAATGGCAGCAACCTGACAGGCACTTTCACAGAGAGACCCAGCTGCCACCAATTCTGTGTGGTGACTGCCTGGCCAGGAAGTCTGAGCAGGCTGCTCACCAGCAAACACACCCATAGCTGTGGTCAGTCACAGAATAAAGCCAGCCTGGAACAGCTGGCAAGCCAAAAAGCAAAGTGAGCAATACTGAGGGATCTTAATGAGGATGACTTACATGGGTCATGAGAGGAGCCACAGCTAGTAAAGCAAGGAGGTGTAGGAAGATAAGACAGAGAAAAAACAGGAAACAATATTCCATTCATTGCCACTCCTCTTGCAACAATCTCATTTAACTTCTGTTTAATTTCTATTTTGTTTTTATGACTTACAGTTGATCAACATTGCTACTGCACCAGGCATAGGAGTTTGCTTGTCTCTACATATGTGTGTGTACTTACAGAAACACACATGCACAATACATGTCATAACAAAACAAGCTGCCTAAGACCTGCTACTTCAAATGCCTCGTTCAGTGTAATTAATTGGGACCAGCTGTCTAGAGGAAGAGACCATCAAAATGCTATCAACAACAGTAGAGAAAATATGCCTATTCTTTATGAAAATACTTGCTTATAGAATGCCTGTGCATGCCCCAGCCATAGGGAACAGGTAGGGACCAGCTGGTTACCTGCAGGCACAAGCAGTGGCTCTCAATGGCCAAGGCCACATTTATGATGGCAAAATCCAGGCAGTGGAGAAGACACAGCTGATCCAAAAACGACTGTGGTAGCAACTGACAGCCTTTTTAAGCTTCTGAACTGTTTTGGTTGAATCCTGCATTACCACAGTCCCTGACTTTTTATTCCTTTGTCGGCAAAGTCACTGTGACTCTGTCAAGTGTTGATCCCTTGAAATATGACGGGTTTTGCACGCTCCTCTCTTACAAGAGCAAGGCTGGCCTTTGTGCAGATCTGCAATGGCAGGCTGCTAAAAATAAGGATGCAATAGCCACTTAGGCAGATCAATTTAGCATGCTGAGAAAACTACAGAGCGAGGAGATACTCACTTCATACACACAACCCTCCCAGAAACTGCAGATTTAAAAAAAAAAAAAAAAGTGTGTTGTATTTAGGAACTGCTTCAAATTGAAATGCTATAATAACCCTCCAAAGAAGCAGACTGAAGATAAATTATGCAACTGTAGCTGATTTAAATCAGATTTTGAGGGAACTAGGGAACTCTCCAGAACAGGTATTTGCTCTGCAGTTCTTCATGTTAATTAAAGCAGAACAGAAGGTCATCATTAAAGCTGCCATATCATGAAAAGCAAAATAATAAAGCCCTAAGACAAAAAATGGTTATTTCTAAATGGAAAATAATGGGAAACAGAGCTTTCTGCCTCTGTTAACTAGTTTATACAGAAATGTTAATCACTGTTATTGTATTTACATAAATGGTGATGAGGTGATTTATACCATCTGTGCATCTGGCTGTGTGGAAATATATATATTTGACCAGAACTGATGATACCAGCAGACACACTGAACAAAAGAAATTCCAGTTATAAAACACAGATCAAGGATGTGCAGACGTCCAAGAAATGTGAGCAAAGGAGCTACTAAGAAGAGTATGTGATTTGAATGGGCCATTAGTAGAAATAAATATATCAGCAAATGTGATACAGCCAAACTAGTTACGGAACAGAACACAGAAATGTAAAAGTGAGTCAAACAGTACAAGTCTGGCAATTGTCACAGTGAGTCTGCTGAAGCAAATCTCAACCTTGATTCACAGAACCTTACATATATTTACATATGCTTAAATTAAAATAAATTCTTACATATGGGCAAACTTAAGCATGAACTGAAATTTCATTTACTTCATTAAAAGTTATAGAAGATAAGATTGAATATATGATGCCTTTTCTAACTAAGGAATTTCTTTCTAAATTGGGCCCCTCTTCTGAGTAAGGGCCTTTCCATTAATAAACACTAATTAAAAATTCTACCCATATCGTAATCTCAGGAAGATTGTTGAATTTGAGAATTCTTGTTGACAAGAATTGGACTTAATAATACGTACGTGTGGTAGTTTGGGGGGTGGAAGCTGAAACAGTAAGGAAATGTCAGGAAACATCAACCAGCACTTCCTAATCATGAAATAATATGGCAAATCAGCTATTTTTAGGAAGTGATATAAATCTCAGTGCTTTGGATTATAGAAGCAGAAACCGAGAAAACACACTTTTGTTGATTAGCTCATGTTTTACCTTGCATTTATAAGGCAAAATGACCCCAAAGTCATAAAGACATCTTTCACTTTTACCATTTCACCACAGCAAATTATGAAACACAAACCTTCCTCATTGTGCCCATTTAGATCACTAAGTCAGGGACAAAGCTAGAACAGACAAGCTCACTTTAAAGTACAAGGCTCAATTTAGTGGTTTGCAGGTCTATTTTAGCTCTTGTACCACAGGGACCAGAAGCCTGCAATCAGTTCACAGAGCTCTGCGTGCTTGATGACAGCAGGTCGCCGGCTTTGCACCGCTCCACCATCGAGAAGCACCTCAGACACTTCGTGGTAGCTGTTTAACAGGCACAAGTTACAGACTTCCATCTTAAAAGCGGGAGCTCCACATATACAGCTGAATAATATACGAGCCTGGCAATTGTGCTGGCTCAGCTGCTGCCTCACACGCAGCCGAGCTGCCCGTGTTGCAGAGCAGATGTTCCAGAGCAGGTGTCAGCAGGCAGTTATGGGGGGCAACCACCAAAGCCCTCCCAAAGCAGCGTTTCCACTCGAGAGTTAAAGCCTCAAAGGAGACATGAAATAACCTTGTTAATTTGACGCTTGATAATGCAAACATCTTAAAAATCCCACTCCAAATTGTATGTCACTCCCTGGCACGCAGCCAGGAGTTCTCATCCAATTTCAGCATATTAAGGTTTTAATGGGGTTTTTTTAGAGAAGCTTCTGCCGAACATTTGGTGCTACCAGTTCAATGCTTAATTACTCTTTCCTAGAAGGAAATCGCGGTGATGTTTAAGCGTAGGAATTAACTGCACCTGATACAGCCTTTTTCTCCTTACAGTACCTGTCCTGCGGAGAGCATCCGCAACAACCCCAGCGGGAGGAGAGCCTCTTACAGAAAGGCTGGACGCTCTGCCAGCTCACCCCGCTAGCCGTCCCAGGCGCCGAGACCCCGACACCCATCTCCGCCACCGCCCCACCGGCTCTGGATCCCCTTCCCGGGGCATTCCGGCTCCGCGCACGCCCGCCGCCGCAGGAACCTCGCCAGTGCGAGAGGAGCGGGGGGCGCGGTGCTCGCGGTTCTGCCGGCCCCGTGCCGGGCGGCCCCCGCTCTCCCCGCCTCAGCCGAGCCGCCCCCCACCCCGCGCACAGCCAGATGCCGGGACTACGACCACCGCCGTGGCGGAGCCGGCGGGCGCGCACCGGGATCGCGGCGCGGGCGCTGCCAGGAGCGCGCCCGGCCCCGCCTGTGCGCGGGGTGCGGAGTTCGGGATGAAGGGGGAGCGATCCGCACGGCCCCGCGCCCACCGCGACTGAGCGCCCGGCTCCGCCCGCCCAAGCCCGCCCACCGCGCGTCAGAGCGGGCGCAGCCAATGGGCAGGAGGGGCTACATCGGGGGGCGGGGCGGGGCGGCGGCCAATGGGCTGCGGGGATGTTCCCGGAGGCGCAGCCGCCGCGGCCCCTCGGGGCCACGGGGGGCGGGGCGGGGCGGCGGCCAATGGGCTGCGGGGATGTTCCCGGAGGCGCAGCCGCCGCGGCCCCTCCCCCGCCGGCCGCTCCGGCTCGGGGCTCGCCGGGCGGGAGAGTTTCGCTCCCGGGTGGGAGATGCCGCGCGGGCTCCGTGTCCTCGCAGGTAACGCCGCGCGGGGGAACGGGGGGCTCGCCAGCGCCCCGTCCGCTGGCGGGACCGGCCCGGGGAGGCGAGGGCCGGACGGGACGGGGCACCTCCTACGGCGGAGCCGTCGCCGCCAGGACAAAAGGGGAGCGGCGAGCGGGGCAGGGCCACCGCCAAACTCCCGGCGGGGCTCGCCTGCCTCCCAGCCTCGACCCTTACCCCGAAGCCGCCGCTGCCTTCCCGGGCGGGCTCCGGCTCCATCCCAGGGACCGCCCGCCGGGTGCCCGGGACGCCCCCAAGTTTGCGGGGCTCCGGGCACGGGCAGCGCCGCCCTGGGTGCGAGCCGCCCCGCGGCCCGGCGCTCTGGGGCGGGAGGCACCGTGCCCGCCCCGCCGCGGGGTGCCCGCGCTGTGCGGCGGGTGCTCTCCGGTCGGCTCGGGCTCGCCTTGCCCTGGAGAGGGCGGCAGGCAGGCGCCCTCCCGGTCCCCGACGGTGGCGTGCGGCGCTCCGGGGAGGCGGCGGTCCCTCGGGGTGCCCGCAGCGCCCGTGCGGCCACCGCGCTGCCCGGGGACGGGAACCCCCACGGACCGGCCTCCTGGACCGCGGGAAAACAGGGCTGGCTGTAGCTGTGCGCCGGATAAATGGAGCGAGCGTAATGGGAGAAACTTTCAAGGTGAAATAAATTTTGAGTAGATTAAGTATTTTAATTGCGTGTTGATGCTGTATCCGTGCTGTTGGGAGCAATGCCGTGCACTTCCCTCAGTTAACAGCCACGCTTTCTCTCTTTGTTTCCGTCAAACTACGAGCACAAGGGTGAACTACTCCGAGAAAAGGTTTTGCTCTTAAAGCAGCTGCTTTGCTCAGCCAGGCAGCTCCAGCCTCTCAGGTTGCACAGCTCCAGGTTACTGGCTTTACCTGAATTTGGGTGCCGCGCCATATGGTCTCCAAAGCGAGGAGGGGCACCGCTGTGGCAGGGGGTACTGCCTGTCCCTGTGCACGTGTGTGTGCAGGAAATGGGAATATGCGGGGACCGGAATGAGGTACTGCAAAAAGCAAGGCAATTGCTGCAGCAGCTCCGATGGTCAGCTCTGCTCCAGAAGCCTGATGCCTGGAGATGTTTTCCTAGACCGTGCAAAGACGTTAAGTGCTATGTTTGCAGGGGTGCACTACAGCTGTTTTTCTAGATTCTCTATTTTTCTGTATGAAGGTATTAAATGTAATATTTTCAGGAGTGCAACAGTTGATTTAATAAGCAAATAAATTATAAGAAACTTAAGATAGGCTACTATATGTGCCTATCATTCTTTGGGCTTACAAAATAAAAAAAATCCATATTCTGCCTAGCTTTTACTGCAGTTTTCCATTCATAGCTTCCTTTGCTTGCTGTTTATACCAGCACCTGATAATAAGACCACTGACAGCAGTGTCTGAGCACCTGAGAAGGGTGCTTCCTGACAGAAGGCTGGCTCTGGAGCATCCAGAGAGACCCATCCGAATAAAGGTGGCTCATGGGTGTAAACTTCCAGCCTCAGTACCTCCACACTGACGTATCACTCAGTGTGCTTGGATTGCAGGGTCTTTTTCATCTGCCTCAATAACCTCATGAGCCCATACAGCAGTGGAACTTCAACTGCGCTTGAGTTGCACACTCAGCACACTGAGTGATCTCATGAACACTAGTCCCATCTCAATTCTATGGGTCTTGCTGTCTCATTGCTTGAATTGTTGAGGCTTAGGGCCTAGTCCATTGACTGATACCTCCATATGTCTATCTGTGATGTTTGTATGAATTCCTTTCATGGGGGAATGTGTACGACTAGGTCCTTCAATCTGATTAGCTGAAGGGAGTTTAGCTCTTTTGGCAATTGACAATGTTTGCTTTTCAAACGGGTAGGAAATGATAATGTTTATCATCTTCTACAGAGCTTTATAAATGTTTCACAGTCCCTCTGATGCATCTGTTTGTATTGCTTGAAAAGAACAGTAAGAAACAGAAAAACAGTGATTTGCTCTAGGTTTTAAAATTTGTCTGTGCCAAAGTTTTACCTTAACATCTTAGAATTTCTTGTATTTATCTCTGTGCTTCATCCATGATAAATTCTGCCTTTACTTCCTCATTTGAAGTGCAAAATTATGTTTAGGTGTGTTCCAGTAACTATGAGAGGCGCTGAGAAAAAAAGTGTAAGGTTATATGAAACTTAATCTCCTCTCCGAAGCCAGCTTTCCTTTAAAATTCTTTTTTTTAGTGAATTAGACCTGTAACCATGCACTTGTATGTGTTTCTTCCAGATTTTCAACCAACATAATGCTGAAGCTCCCAACTTGGAACCAGCATTTTGCAGAATGGCACAAATGGAACCTAATCTGGACCATGATGTATCATGGTTCCTCCTTCCATCATACTGGGCTAAAATGGTTGTGGCATTAATTTCCTTCCTCTGTTTTGCTAACAGCTATGATGGAGATTTTGTCTTTGATGATTCTGAAGCCATCATCAATAATAAGGTTAGTCTCTCTTCTTTTCCTCACACCCTTTGGCATAAATGGTCATAGGAAAAGAAATAATGCAACAATTGATCTAAACCAAAAGTTTCAGCCTAGTAAAGAGCTTCTCCTGGGACAACAGTACTTTTTTTGAGATAGAGGTGGAGTATTCTTGTGTTCCATTTTAAAGCTGACCATACATGCAATGGACAGACCTTGAAATGTTTAGCAATGAACATGTGATTCAAACACACCTCTAACTGAGATTCTTTTGGCTTTGAGCAGTGGAGTGTCTTCAGTTGCTGAGACACTTCTCAGGATCACATGTAGCAGTGAGTGAGCCCATGACCATGGATGGGTATTGGGGTTACAGCTTTTATGCTGCTCTGGAAGGTACCTGTTAAGCATTTAGAAAGAAAAGCACAGGATAAAAATAATCACATTCATCTGTTGGTTCTGTCTTCCTGAAGCCATGGGTTACAAAGAGGATAATCTGGAGACTCATACTGCTAGAAGAACACAATTCACTTTTTTTTTTTTCCTTGCACAAGATATAGAGGCAACTTATCACAGTGTTCCTTTTAGAATCATGCAGAATTACTGTTTCCTTAGACAAACTTCTATTATGTGTGTGTAAGTCATCATATCTTCAGTTATAAATGTATGGGGGGAAAATACATCTGTCAACATGGAAATAAATCTCAAAGCTTTCAAGAGAATACTGTAGACAAATTAAGAACCTACAGCATTGTTGTTTTGGGGTTTTTTTTAAAGTAGTATTGTATTTCAGATTGCACAGCTCCTGGTAATTTTTCATTCTGTGAAGTTTTATTTGGGATCTGTTTATAATATTTGCATTTCCTGAAAAAATGAACAATAGACGGATGTTGAAACAAAGCAGGTTGTTTTGGTAATGTGCAATTTCCGCACTTGTAATCTTTCTCCGTTTCTTTCTGTCTTTACTCTAAAAATGTTTCAATTTATCTATGCAACCCAACAATTTGCACCAGGATTCTAGCTGTTGGCAATGCTGAGAAATTCAACCAACTGCTTAAATAAATTAATTCATATGTAGTCTGTATGTTTGAAAAACTGGGAGGCTGTTTCTATTTCTCACATGAAAATCCTCTATTATTCTCTAGAAATTAAATGAGGATTTTTTGGCAATATCATTTTAACACAGGGGTGATATAGATATATGAAAATTCAAAATCCACAAGAAAAATGCAGAGACAATGAGTTTACCAGTTTAATGGGGAGGGAGATTATCTAGCAATGGCACAGTTTATTGAACAAAGCATAGCATATTTTATTTCTATTTAATAGGAAAGACAGCAGTTGAAGTAATTTTATAGATTTACTGAGCATTGCTACTGTAGTATTTTCTTGGGTACCCCTTTCTGTTAATTTACTAGCTGCCATCATCCCAATCTTTAATTTCTTTTATTGTTTTTTTAGCAAAAGATACACATTTAATTGACCCCCATCCCTATCCTATCATGGAGCGTTCCATTATTAGATTTTATTTGAGTTAAAGGCTGCTTTCCAGATGCTTTCTTATCATTTTAAGCAGCATTTTAACTGGTACACGGCAGTGGCTTTTGTCTTTATTTATTTACTAGCTTGGCAAGACAAACAGTTGGATTAAGCAGAGCTTCAGACACAGTATGTCATTTCCATAAGCCTTTATACAGAAAAACTGACCTTTCTTCAAATCTTGAACTCTGCTCTCTGTAAGCTGCTGCTAATCAAATATTTAGAGATTATTTGATAGCTACTTTTGGTTTTTAAAGAGAAAATCATGTGTAGCTTTTAAAGAGCTGTGTCTCTTGAAGAAAACCATACCTATTTTAGGGTAGATTCACTACATAGGAAAATTGATGAGAAAAACTTTCTCACAGAACTTGGATACAAGGGCAAGATACATGATTGAAGATTTTTAGGTCATATGGAAGTGTAATCTAATCACTAAGTAATTCCATGCATTCAGCTTTTTCTGCCTTCTTCCGATGCAAGACAAAAGAAGGCTGATTATAGCAGAATGGGAAATCAAGCCTTGTGCATTTCCCATCTCAAGTTATTGAAGACCATCTGTGACATGGAAGGCATACTTTTCTTTTCCAGTACTAACATTTATGAAAGTATGTCTTTCATAGACCTTATGTACATAAAGAGCAGTGCCGCTGGTTGAAAAAACAGTCTGAGGGCCACACCACCCTCTGACAACTGTCCCCTGCAGAGCACAAAGACTTCAGTAGATGCTGGTGTACATCCCTGTCCCAGCTTGCCCCAGAAAAAGCTGGCTGTATCGATTTAGTGAGCTGCTGGTTGAGTGTGTTCCTGCTCTGAGAGTCAAATTATGACCTTTAGGGTTTGTGCATACCGATGAGGAATGGAACAGGAATTTAGATGCCTAAGGCTAAAATTACAGTTCTGGGAGAAGAAAGAAATTTCTAGCTATTACTTGGCAGTGGAAACATCTGTGAGAGCGTGAAGAAATTTTTCACCTTGGTAATTCTTAAGCCCAAGTAGCATCCCCTGTGAGTCTTGATTTCTTAAGAATTTCCCTGAGAGTGCCTTAATTGACAGCTGAAGTCTAGGTTCTTTCAGACTGCAGTTTTAGCCCTGCTCTTTTCTGTGCATTGATTAGTATCCTGTTAGAGAATACTTCCATTCATTTGACTACTACTGGCCAAATTTGATCAAATTATAGAAAGAAATCTCTTTTTGGTTTTTTTTTTTAATTTATATTTTTGGATGGATGAACGTCAGAATACGTTAAGAATATTCTCTTTGAAGAAGCAAGAAAAATTAGTTATTTTAAGTTCAGTTTAGCAGCAGCAGTCATCAGGGTCCAGCAATTTGGCTGTAATTTGGAAGTACATGCAAGCCAAAAATAAGGCATGGACTGAGGTTGAGATGGCAGGTACTGGAGACCACAGGAATGCTCAAGATACTGTAAAAGCAAATGAGGTGGTAGCAGCATTGGAGAGGAACTGGAATTAATAAAACCAATGGAATTGCAATATGTGAATATTGTAAGCAGATGGAGTTGTAGGAATAATAAGAGAGGGGCACCTGGGTTTGTAAGACCTTCCATGGGGTTAGCAAGCCTGTTTGTCTGCTTACTTGTGTTTGCAGTGTCTTGTTCACCTCCTTTGGTTCAATGGTCTCAAATAATTTCAAGACAGAAGGTGGGGTAGAGTAACTTGTTGGTTGCAGGAGTAGTACTGACTAGTATAGTTTTGTACTTAGGTTCTGTCTCAAGTGTCTTTAACCTGCGTGTACCTTGCTGTAGCATAAATTGGCATTTAATTGCACTAGGGAAGCAGAATAAGGGCAAGTGTATGTTAGTTTGAACTTCCAAGCTTGTCCTCATAAAAAAACTGACGCAGATGCTAGCAAGATCCTTATTTTTCCTCCAAAGTGTATGCTTTCCATTTAATAGCCTACATTATTTGGATTTTTCATTATCAGCATGGTTTTGAGATAAAAAGAGAAGAACAAGCAAGCAAGACTTTTTCTTTGCAATAGGTGCCCCCTATTGCACCCCAAATTAAAATAATTCATTACCTTTCTGTCTTTTAATCTTTCAGAGCAGTATATAGAGATGTTGATTCTTGATTTCATGTATTGAGTGTTAAAACAACCTCAACTATTTGAATAGTCCTGTGCAAAGCAAGGCTTCAAAAAAACTAATTGTTGTTCCCTACCTTTAGTCTCCTTGATTTCATGCTTTCATTAGTAGTTATGCTACTGCACTTGTGAAAAATGGCTATTCTGCGGCAGTTTGTAGTTGGCCTTCTTTGCAAGATAACCTACACCTAAACTCAATGGCTTTTTACAAAATTTTGAGGTAAGGAGGTTTATGTGTTTCATATCTCAGCTATTGATCAGATTATAAATTGATGTGAATATAGCTCTAAATTTCATGTAGTTATGCCTACTTACAGAATCCATGTAATGACATTTACAATGACAGGCATTCAAGATTCGACCTTCATTGCAGACTTAGGTACTGTGGGTCAGATGTCAGTAGTGAGCCAACAAAACTCCTGCTGTGTCCATCTTAGTGTGAGCTTGTATTAGTTAGAACTTGTTTGTGGTTTAGCTGCTTTGAACAAGGGAAAAATTTTAAGAATCTGATAATTTGTTTTCTTTTAGGACCTCAGGGCAGAAACCCCACTTGGTGACCTGTGGTATCATGACTTTTGGGGTAGCAAACTCAGCAGCAATACCAGTCATAAGTCATATCGACCGCTAACTGTCCTAACTTTCAGGTGAGACTTGTATTTTTCCTTGAGGTCTGAATATTTTTAATCTGTATTGACTCAATTGAATTTAGGGGGGAGGCAACAAAAAAGGCAAGAACAAAGTAGCTGGAGGGTAGTTGGATACCTTTCCAGAGTACGATTTTTGAGTTCACTACCTTAATCTCAAATGGTGTTTTAATTTTCCGATGGTTTCTTTCCCAAAGTATTCATTATTTTGACATTCTGTATTTATATCTACTTTTCAGAGATTTTGTCTTAATGGTCTTCTATACCTGGTACTAGGGGCAGTGTGGTTTAGTATGTCACATCATCAAGGTGCATGTTCCCTTCACTTAGCCATGCTGCCACTTGCGTTGCTGTTGTAGTTTTTGTTCTCTGCTTTCCTGCTGACCTGTCAAATTGTTTATTTTATAAATAGCATCACAGTACTGTGGCCTTTTTCCATCAGCACACTGTATAGTCTTCCCACCTCTTGACTCCAATATTCTAACTCGAGTGTCTGAGAATCTAGCGAAATGTCTGCCTATATATAACTTGCAGGTTTTGTCAAATAACTAAAGGTTTAAAAGGATTACTTTTGTAGATGCTTAGCTCATGTTTTTTGCACAAAGATTTGAGTAAACAGTAGACCATGTAAAAATCTGGCACAGCAATGCAGAGAATATTTGAGGACTCAGTCTTAATTTTTTTATTTTCCCCTTCTGACTCAATGGTGTCAGTGGGGAATTGGTGCTTGTTCTGCCCATTCCAAGCCATGGACTAAGTGCAGAAGTGTTCCCACTCTTTAGTCCTCATATTCAAGCAAAAGCTTTGGCCCTTTAGGGCAGTGTCAGTGTTTTAAGTACCTATCACTGTGCGTTTCACTTCTATTGGGCTTTCCTCACATTTTCCTCAAGAAAAATAAGCAACTGAGTAGAATGTGTCAGAGTCCTAAAACTATTAAAGCTTTCAGTGCATTACACAGAACATGCTTTCCTTTTTTTTTCTTTCTTTTCTCTGTGGTATATTCCATCTGGTTTGTTTAAAGAGTGAACTGGGATACAATCATTACTATATCTGAAAGTATAGATGAGCCTGTGGAGATGGTCCATAAAATGCTATTTTCAAAGAAAGAAATGGATTTCCTTAATTTCCCTAAGCTCCAGCTTTTATGTGCATCATATTTATAAAAGGTTAAGTTTTTAAATAGGTTTCATTTATGCCAGATGCACATTGACCAAAAGAACTGCGTAAAATCCCCTATTCTAGCTAAGTTTCTGTGTATCTTACCTACTGATAAAAGTACATTGATAATGGCACAATGTTTCCCCTTTTTCTTCTCAGCCTCCATTTTACTGCAGAGTTCCTGTCTTGAATAGGGATTTAGATTGTATTTTCACTTTTACACTTCCTTCTGATTCTAATACTTGCATGAAATGTCTCTCTAACCAGTCTCACAAATCAGTCACCAAGATGTGCTGACTGCTTCCTGGGTGGATAGTGATTGTACCCACTACAGGACCTCTTTCACAGAGTATGTCAGTGGAAATCATAGTCCCGGTACATATTAGTTTCCTCACTGTGTGGATATAATTAACATAATTTCATCAAGTTGGCTGCTCTTAAGCCCAGGGGTATCCCTCAGTGGGCTGGGTTATTATCCCTGGGATACTCCTGTGTTGCAACACTGAAGTTACATTGTAGACCAAAAGCCAGTTCTAAGTAACTATAAGAGTGATTACAAGAATGGTACAAAGGTATGTGTTTGGAGAGGATAGATACTGTATCCGTGTGATATTCCCTAGGAATACGTGGCCTAAAGACTGGGATATTGTTTCTATCTTCTTGTGCCTAAATGGTAACTCCTTCTGTACTGAGACTTCTGCTTTATTTTTGTGTGCACGGGTCTGCTATGTTTTTTTTAGCATTTCTACTTGTATTTTTCTAACCATTGTTGTCATTAGCCTTAATATTTTTGTTTCTATATAGAATTAATTACCTTTTTGCTGGAGGCTTCTACCCAGTTGGTTTCCATGTCATCAACATAATACTGCATTGTACTATCTCAGTGTTGATGGTTGATGTGTTCTCCATATTATTGGGTGGATTGCAATTCAGCAATAAAGGAAGACGGCTAAACCTGGCTCCAAAGTCCTCTCTTCTTGCTGCTTTGCTCTTTGCTGTACATCCAGTGCACACCGAGTGTGTAAGTATTGAATAATTATCTCCAGAGATTTTTATTTTAGAAGTTCTTGACCATCTTGACTTATTAATTCTGGCATAACCTTATACTCTACAGATTGCTTTTAGATATTTTTAACACTTCTCTTGGCACATGTCTTAATAGAACAATCAAGTATTATGGTTAGTACATCCAAGGCTTGTAATTCCACCGAGATAGACCTTATTAAGGAACACAAATCATTCAAGTACAATAACTAAAGGAGGATAGCAGGATGCTACAGAGTTTCCTTACCTCCTGGATTTTTCTAATTACTTTTCATTTCCATTTGCATTGGTAAAAAAAAAGCAAAGAGTTTTAAAATCGGAGATGGGGCACTCTGTGAACTTTGTATGTGACTAGTACGGTACTGCATTCAGTTTTGCATCCATGCTGCAAAGACAGCACTGGAAAAATTGGAGCATGCTCAGAAAAGCCATGAAAGTGATTAAAGGGCTGGAAATCATCCTGTTTTGTGAGAGATCAAACTGGGTTTATATTTTTAATATGAAGGAGAAGATTAAAGAGGTTTTTTTTTAATCGCAGTCTGTAATTATGTACATGGGGAACACAAATTTGACAGTAATTGCCTGCACTTTAATAGTGCAGGCAGAAGCAAAGATGTAAAGATGCAGAATAGAAACATGGCACATGTATAGCAATCAGTTAAAATATCTGACCAAAACACAAAGTCCTTGTGTGGGAATTCTGTGAAGAGAAGATGGTGTTCTTAAAAAGCTCTTTTGTGCTTGCAGCTAAGAAAATCTCATGGCCTTATGCTAGTGGGCTTGTTGAATGTCATCACTGATCTCTTGACCTTGTGATAATGAATAAATCCAATATAAAATTATCACAATAAGGGAAATTTTTTTGGGGAATTTGTTAGAATTTGGAAGGTGTGAGCCACAGAAAAAGTATTAGCTGTAATTTTGATTTTGTCCTAGCAACGAACAGTGAATCCTACAGTGCACATTCTACATATGTGAATATGATTTTTCACTTATTCACAATATGCCATGGTTTTGCCTTCTTGCATTTGCTCTGCACACAATTGGTGGGGGAAAAGTTATTGAAAGCTGTGCTCTCTCAGCTGACTGGAGACCTTGCATGTATTGAAGACCTAGAGATGGTGCAAAGTTATGCATTAGTAATCTGCCACCTTTTCTGGCAGTGTGGCTAAAACATCTTGACAATCATTCTCTGGTGTTCACTCGCCTGCACAATGACTTCTTTGTGAGAGTGCACTGTGTCAGAAGGGCCTCTGATATTTGCTCTCCAAAACCAGTTTTAGATGTCAGAGTAAAGTAAAACAAGTCTTCAGTGCTTTTGATGTTCTGACATATAAAGAGAAATCTCACTTGAGTCTTAACTTTAGAGTAGACCTACTATTGACCCCTTTATCAATATCCATAAATTTATTCTGCATTCCATTTGACTCTAAAAATGTATTTAAATCAGCATGAGAATATTAATAAGCCCTTTGTCCTGTCAAATAAATTACCAGTGATGTGGTCTCCTTGCATATTTGAAGACTTGCAAATGTTTCAGGCAAACAGTGGAAGAAGAGGGGGAAAAAGTAGCATGCTTATATATCAGGCCTCTTCTAAAATTCAGGAATGAACAAAAACCTCTAATCATTTACATGGTGAATAACAAATCTTGCTCCAGTGAAGAAGTCATTTATACTGCTACAGTTCTAGGATGAGTGTGTGTCTGGCAGCACCTCTCAGAAAGCATTCCTTATGATTTTAAACCTGTGAGTTTCAAGTATCCGACATCCTGGTTTTGAAATGAGATGACATATTGTGACATAAAATTGTGAAGAATCCGTCTGTTTGCTGCTTTGAGTTTTTGGTTTATACAGTGAAACAAACTGTCATGTAAAACCAATATTGAAAGGTGTAATGCTTTCAGTACCTATGTAAGGAAAACACTATAATTTTTCTACCTACAAGTAAATACTCTTGTGCTATAGTTGTCTGCTCTAAAAATGGCCTACTCTTTGTAACACTTCAGTGATGAAATGCTAAATGAATCATGGACATAAGAATATATCTGATACCAATTTAAAACTGGTTTGGTTTTTTTCCTTTGTTTGCTTTCTTTCCAGAATCTATATGCCTTATCTTGCATTTTAGGTAACATTTTGCTGTTGGAGTCATCTGAGGCCATGTGCATTATTCGCCCCTTAATCTCTTTGCTGTAACAAGTGGACATTTATTTTCGAAATTGTGTCAGCTCACCTTCACTTTTATCTCATTAGGAAGAGCAGCTCCTGAAGCAGAATGACACTTCATTATTTTCACCTTTCAAAGCACTCTACAGCTATTGAGTTAATTCTCGTAATTCCTTTGTATGATAGAAGAAGGAGCAGCAGAGAAGTTAGGTGCACAGCTGTAGATAAATCAAGTTCTTCTGAACTGAATTTAGGAGTCCAACAGTTTCTGTTTTCACAGTGCTTAAGTAAAGCTGGGGGTAAAAGTGGGAGAGAGTCTCTGCTGTGGAATCAGTCATACTCTCATGCCTCTACACTTCTCTTTCTCTGATGTTATTTGGAAATAGTTGCTCCATCATGTTTCCCTGACACAAAAAATGCCCATTTCCTTTTTACTTTCCTCTTTCTGTTCCACACACAAAATGCGACAACTGGTATACTATAGGAGAACTGAAGTTTCTGCTTTTATCCCTGAAATATGATCACAAAAAATGAATTTAAAAAGAAAACCTGTATCTGTTCTGCCCTGCTTCTGTACATCTCCTGAAAACATGGAACTCAGCACTCCAGGAAGCAGAGCTAGACTGAGAAATAGGGGGTATTTCTAAGATCCTTGCTGTGGGTGTATGTTCTAGTGAGGTTCCAACATCAGGGCTTATACAGTCCCCTACCAGCTCCATGTCATGATTTTCACAAAAAATTTATGGTGTTATCCTGACACGTGTGTAATTGAGAATTGAAGATCCAAAAGTGTCTTGCTCTGTCTCAGCAAGTTATTGTAAATACAGTTTAGGGGCTTGAAGCAAAGCTTACAGAGAGCCCTGAGATTGCACTTGATTTAAATAGGTTGGCACAGATCTCGAGTACAGAGGTCCCAGGATGTGCTTCTCATTTTCTTTTGCATTAATACAACCTTCTGTTTCAAGATGCAATTGCAGGTAACTCTAATGCAGTCAGTTAATACAACACAAAAGACTGCCAGAGGGGAAATCTGGGGAATCTTTTTTTTTTTTCCCTGAATCTGCAAGCTGGAAGGTATTTGTCCATTCTGAGTGCTCAGATTGAAATTTGAAGGCTGGCTTGTCTTCTGAAAGTGAACAGTTTTTGATTTGTGTTTCAGCAGAGCTGCCAATTCAATTGTGGTTCAGGTTGTTTGGCTTCCAAGCCATGTAATAGCTTCAAATGGAAAGAGAGTAGATTTAGATTAGATATTAGGAGGAAATTCTTCAGTGTGAGGGTGGTGAGGCAGTGGCACAGCTTGCCCAGAGAAGCTGTAGATGCTCCATCCCTGAAGTGTTCATGGCCAGGTTGGATGGAACTCTGAGAAACCTGGTCTAGTGAAAGGCAGAGTGGTTGGAAGGAGATGATATTTAAAGTTGTTTCCAACCCAAACTGGTTTATATTTTGATGTTTTCTAAGTCTTCTAAAAAATGCAATTTGATCCAAAAAACAGATGGAATTGTGTAGAGTCTAAATTTTATGCAGTGAAATCCTCCTTCATTTCTTAAAAAAAAATTCCATAAACTAACATTTTCATAAACCAAAGCCAAGCCATTTATGTAGTTGATACTAAGCAATACCAAATAAAAAATAGGATGCATCTAAAAAAATTTGATATAACTAATCCACCACACCCAGTTAAATAAAAAAGTGATACAGTTATATTCTATTATATATTTCACTTTGTATGTGTTCCTTTACTTCAGGTTTTCTAAGAATAAAAATCTGATAATTTGAAACTACTTTTCTTTTTTATAAAGGTTGCTGGGATTGTTGGCAGAGCAGACCTACTGTGTGCCCTGTTCTTCTTGTTGTCATTCCTTGGCTACTGTAAAGCATTTAAAGAAAGTAAGCATTCTGTTTGCCCCTTTAATTTCCTATTGTGTATATTTTCAGCATTTGTACATTTCAGTGAAGTATAGCAAAATTTAAAATGTCAGATTGATTTGTTTACCCTCACAAAATATATTTTTTTAAAAACCTGCTTTAGCAGCTATTTATTTTTAGAAGTTCTGAAAATTTTGCTTTCCCTAATTCTTGTTAAACACTGAATTTAATTTAAGCAAAGCCCACTTTATGATAGGCTTATTTGCTAAATGTTTTATTGTTTAGAAGTTTAATGAAGTATTTTAATGAGTATTTTAGAAATAAATCAAACCTACAAATGTATATGTTGAAATATTTTACTACTCTTTATGCCATTGTGTTGGGATGTCTTAAATGGGAGTCAGTTTTTCGGAACACTATTTGTATTTTTAATGAATTGCAAAGAATTATTCCTATGACTAAGCCTTCTGGATTCCTGCAATATGCAACTGCTGGCATATAATGCTGAATATAGCATTACTCATAGTTTTTGTAAGACAGCTGTGTTTAACAGGAACAGTTCCTTGGTAGATGTTGTTTCAAGTGAGCTTTCAGATCTCTGGTATTGTTTGATCTGAATGCAGGTTGGCAGTTCAAATACAGTTGTGGAGAAATATCTTGGGGGCTCTGTTAAACAAGCACACAAGAAAGCACAAGTTCGTGACTGTGGAAGGCTTTGCAGGACATGCAGTCTGCTGCCTGAATGTCTCTACCACGCAAAATACAGGACTCATTGGTGAAGCCACAAGGAGCTGTGTTGGGAAGGGCTTGTCTGTTGTTCCACAGGCATGGCCTGTAATGATTAACCAGAGCTGGCAGGGTATTTCAGAGGTACCTGAGCTGACTTTGTGATCTGGCTTAACAGCATGGTTGTGGCATCACAGAGACCTCAGTGTGGGCTGAGGGGGTGAGTTAGTCCACAGTGAGCTGTGAGATGCCATGAACAGCTCCTGCTGGTTCAGTTTAGATTCTTTGGAACTACTGTACATATTTCCATTGCTGATATAATAAGTTTATCTTGCCATTTCAAATGTTACTTGGGATGATTCCTGTTTTACTTTGGATATATTTTTCTTCCCTTTGAGTAGGTTTAATTTCTTTCAACTGAGCTAATGATTTCTTGATGAAAATTGGCCTCGGGTTCTTGCTTGTTTGTTTATTCTTTTCTAACCTATTTTATTGGATGTGATTGTGCTTATGATGTTTCTTCTGTTAGTAGTAGAGTAAGATAGACCAATCAAAATATTGCCTTATCTGTTTTCCAGTGTCTCTCCTAGACAGGTAGGATTATATGGCAGGGGCAATAATCTTTGCTTGAAGGACTCAAGAGCCAAATTCTTAGGATGACCACTGGAGACAATTAAATAGGACCCTCTAATTATTTTGGTATAGAGGACATCTTGAGAATGATTAAGGATGTGTATTCTGGTTAAGGATATTCAACTTGTGAAGGCCAGTTGAATAGCTTTTAGAAATCAGTGTTAATGTAATCATATTCTTGGACTGAAATTTGTGTCAATGATACAGAAGAAGGAAAATGTTGCAAAGACAAGATACTAAGCAGCCCTTACTGATTTTTATTGGGCTTTACATAATAATAGGGGAGCAGATGTCTTTTAAGCAATTTTGCCAAGGAAAATTACAGTCTGCCAGCATTGTCTTTCAGGTCAGTTTCCAATGTTTACTGTCACTTTCACTGCCTGCTTTTCCCTCAGCAACTTCTTGAAGAAATTTACACTTCCTCTGTACACAAGAATTTGTGTCTAAGATACATACTTGAATCTTTCACCTTGATTGCTGCAAAGGGGCACTACTGACTCATCAGCCAGGAGCTTATCACCCAGGCACTCCAGACTTTTTCTGCAGAGCTGCTGCCCAGGCCTTAATCGTTGCATGGTGTTGTGTTTGATTTTCGTGAGGCCACTCCTTCCAGCTTATCACAGTCCCTCCAAACACCAGTCCTCTTCACCATTGTATCCATCTAGCTGAACTCCATCAAAGACCACAAGCAGTTCTTCTTGCTGCCTTTATTAGATTTTTTTTTTTCTTTGTGGAGGGGGGAGGTTTGTCCAGCCTGTAGCTGTTTGAACATGAGTGCTTTTGTAGGAAAGGGCCATGTCTGTGTTGGAAAGGGCAGCCACAAAGAGAAGGGAGGCTCTCTCTTCTCAAGGAGCTACATGATGAAGACAAGGGGCAGTGGGTGCAGTTGTACTGGGAAAGGTTTCACCCTGATGTAAGGAATCATTTTTTTACAGCAAGAACAATCAATCACTGCAACAGTCTCCCCGGAGATGTGGCAGAGTCCCCATGACTGGAGGTTTTCAAGATGTATTTGGATAGGGTTTTAGGTGATCTTGTCTAGGCTCCCTTTCCTGCAAAAATTGGACCTGGTGATCTCTGGAGGCCCCTTCCAAGCTGAGCTGTTCCTGTGATTCTCTGCATGAAAGGTTTTAGGAAAAGGTAACCAAATACGGGGAAGTGGTAGAATATGACTCTTCAGTGGGTTTGCAAAGTAAATAAAAAGTTTTACCCTTGGTATGAATTTCCTTCTTTTGTGAACAGTTCTTCTAGGTACTCTCAAATGATAGGTTAAATAAGGAGTAAAGAACTTTTATCTGACTTCAGCTGAGTTTGAGTCTGCATAGATTGAGGGAGTGAATCCCAAATGGAAGCTAGTCTCACTGTGAATATAAGAACATGCATTTTAAAAATATGCGCATATAATTTAAAAAGCAGACTTAGACAATGTCTCCTAAGCAGCAAAGAAAAAGTACTTTTTCTTCTGTTAGAATGTTGTCCTTCAGATGTCAAATCCTCAAGATCCGGAATGTCTGTGATATTGCCAATGCATGTTGCTAGTTCTAGAGCAAGTTAAGAGCTGTTATTTCATCATTTTCTAGGTCAGGCCAAGAAGGTAATTTGTCTTTGTATGTGAGAAAGAGAGGGGAAAAAACAACCAAAAACCCCTCAGGGGTTTTTAGTAAAACAACCAAAAAAAAACCCCTCAGGTATCAGGTTTATGTTTCTAGTCAAACAGAGATGCTTTATGGTGATCCTACACAAAAGTGGATTGTACCAGCATCCTTTTTCCTTTTGTCCTACTGGGCTTTTTGTGTATTAAAGGCAAGCATGGCCCTAAACTGTAGGTCAACTGTGGGTGTCTTTGTTCCTGGATTTGGCTGTCACATTTATATAGAGCTTAGCTCACCAAATTTTTACAAAGAGTGGGAGAAGAATTATCAAAGGTTGATTTTTTAATTGTTACAAATAGACACATTGTAGTCTTACTCTTTTGGACCTCTTAAAAGAGTGTAGAACTCTTAAGACCATCAAGATTTGTAGACTGCATTTGTATTGTCTTTTGAATATGGTTACCAAAACATGTTGATGCCAGTTTGTTTTTGTTTTGTGAACTTTAAGTGAGCATCCAAGTAAAACAAACACTGAAAAGCCTGATGTGATGCTACTGATGTGGTTGGGTCAGTAACATATATTGTTTGGCTACCAGCAGCATCCCAATGCTGTTGGCAGACAGGTTATCCAAGCTTTTAATAAAGAACCTGGCTATTCTTTCAGCAAGGCAATGTGAAACTTGTGTATGACTGAATTGAAAAAATCTGTATATGTTTCAATAGTTTAGACACAGTTAATGAATTGTCATTCATTAAAGAAAAGGGGTCAAAAATCGTATGTGGGAGACTGGTTGGTGCTTCTTTTCATTTGAGAAAATTAATTTAAAGATTCATAATTTTTTTTTTTTTTTTTTTTGCGTGGGAGTAGGAACTCATGAAATGTCTGAGGAGGATTTGGAAGTACTATGGGGAAAGTATATGTAATAGTGAAAACAGTCAGGAGATCAGAAAAATATCAGTGTCAGGCTGGAAAACTTCCAAAGGAAAATAATGGTTTTTGTAAAGCCCAAGATATACTGCAGCTTGTTTACCTGATTTATTTGTGGTTTCAGTGGATTTTTGGGTAGACAGTTTATTTTAGCTAGAATCTGAAGCTTTCTCTTTTTTTTTAAGTATAGGCATTTAATTATGTGGGCTATAATTATGTCTTGCTGAAGTTCTACAATTCTGTTACTTTTTCCCAGTGTATTGTTTTTGAAGTTAGCATCTTTGAAAGGATAACATTTATAATTGCAAGGAACTAATCTGTTGTTCTCATTCTGTCCTGCTGTTTTAAACACAACTGTAGGGACAAATCCACTGCATAGGCTTTGGAGACAGCAAGAGCTGACAACTGTTTAGGTATGTTCTGAAGGGAATTGTGGGTTATTAACTTTGTTGAATTTTAATGCAGCTTCTCTGGGAATTCATAAGGCAATTTAAAACTGCTGTAGTGTTCATTTTTTGCCTTCCTTTGTCTTCAGTTTTGACAGTGATCCAGTTGCGTGTATTTGCCATCTGCATTGGCAGTCTCTGAATGAGGCAAAATGAGGAGTTCATGACTTGGTCCATGTGAATAATATTGGTGCAGATATTAAATATGGGATCAGCTCTTTGCTCATATGCTGTGACATCTAAAAACTGGCTGTATGTTTCTATTTTGTTTTGTTCTGTGTAGATGTCAATCAATCATCTACTAGTTCATTGCTAATTTAATAAAGCATGCAAAGTAGCGATGAGTTTTGTGAATATTGGAGGTTTATATTATGGAAATTTTCCTACAGATTGGAAACATTTAAGTCTCTTGTGTGAAAGAGATCATTGCTAAGATATGGGGAATTTGTTAGCTATTGTGCAATTGGTCAAGAGGTATTTACTATTGTTAAACATGTGAGCCCTGATTTTTTTAACTATGTGCCCTAGCATTCATATTTGAACACATTGGGAGGGAATAGTTGTAAGTGGAAAACCTAACAATTTTATGATTTTAGTTGGCTGAGGAAACACAATGACCTTTTTTCTGGTAGAATTAATGCTAACTTTCACTTCTCCAAGATGTTGTAATTGAGGGGATAGATGCTTCCTTCATTA